CATGCCTTGACTGGCAGCGCAGATGTCAGCGACTGGTGGGGTCCCCTCCTCGGTGGACCCGGAAGAGCATTCGACACTTCGAGATTCTTCATTGTGTGCATGAACGCTCTCGGAAGCCCTTACGGCACCGCAAGCCCAGTCACTGCCAAGGACGGCGACCCGTCCAAAGGAAGATACGGGCCCGAGTTCCCTCTCACGACAATCCGTGATGATGTAAAGTGAGTAAACTCGTTCCAGGGGATAGCTACATCAACTAATACGGAAAACAAGCCTGCACAAGCTGCTATTGGACGAGCTCGGAGTAAAGCAAATCGCCGCTGTCATCGGTGGATCTCTTGGTGGCATGTTTGTGTTGGAGTGGGCGTATCTGGGCAAGGACTACATCCGCTGCATTGTGCCCATCGCGACCTCAAGCAGACACAGCGCATGGGGTATCAGCTGGGGCGAGGCACAGAGACAGAGCATCTATGCCGACCCCAAGTACGACGACGGCTACTACCCATTCGACGACCCGCCGTCGACCGGTCTAGGCGCCGCTCGCATGTCCGCTCTCCTGACCTACCGCAGCCGAAACTCCTTCGAGTCCCGTTTCGGACGGAACATCCCTGACCCGTCAAGGCGGCAGACTATCCGCGAGAAGCCCCGGCCCAGCACGCCGTCAGAGGCCCACTTCCACATTCACAACGACGGTCACAATGTCAAGCGGGCTACCATCTCACGGCAGAACAGCCAGGGGGGCATCAGCGAGACGTCTGTTAATGGCGCAACGGCCGACGCAGTTGCCGACGCGTCTGACCCCCAATTCCACGGTCCCCAGACTGATAGCCTTACGGGCGGCGATAAGCTCCCGACTTCGACATACTTCTCCGCGCAATCCTACCTGCGCTACCAGGGACAAAAGTTTGTGAAGCGATTCGACAGCAACTGTTACATTGCCATGACGAGGAAGCTGGACACACACGATGTCTCTCGTGACCGCGCGCCGACGATTGCTGAGGCTTTGGCCCTCATCGAGCAACCCACCCTGGTTCTCGGTATCGAAAGTGACGGCCTGTTCACCTTTGCTGAGCAGGAGGAAATCGCCGAGCACATCAAGAATGCCAGGCTCGAACGTATCGACAGTCCCGAAGGCCACGACGCCTTCTTGCTGCAGTTCGAGCAAGTCAACCACTACGTTTTGGGCTTCTTGAAAGAGACGTTGCCTGATATCATGAGCAAGCAGGGCGAGGAAGTCGAAGAAGTCGGTGTGGGTCAGCTGACCAAGAGTAGCACCTTTGGAGAGGCCGAAGTAGACGACATTACGGCCTGGTAGAAAAGATATGACGGTCGTGTTCAGTGGAGTTTTTTGTCTTTGTTTTGTTTCAACAGGCCTGGTTTCTTTCAACAAGTCAGCGATCATGGAAATAGACGGTGCAAAAAATGGAACTCTTCATGCTGCGTTAAGTCGGGATGCCTCTGCTCAAGCGGACGATTCGAACGTGACGTGTCAGACCAGACCTTCAATGAAGCGGAACCAGTACCCGTACGCAATCTCCAGACTTCAGTTCCTAACTTGTCATAGGCAGAGCCAGCGCGAGAGTTTCCACTTGACGCCCGGAAATTCAGATCCCCGCCGGCCCATATTGTGGTATGTGACAGGGCACCGGACGTCAAATCTGGGTGCGGAGGTTATCTCAGCGCAGGGCAGAACGGAGGGGGGCACCGTATGGCCGACGTATCTGGCACCGTCCGTACGAGGGACGAACGATGCCGCAAACGTGTGTCAACTTCAAGCTGTCTCTTGCGTGAGACTCCAACTTTGTTTGGTCAACTTTGTTGTGCAAATGTGATAATTATGAATGCCGGCGGAATGGTCCGCCGTCGTCGAGCCGAGCCCGTTGTCGAACGCCCGCAATTGTTGACATGAATAAGGATCCTGCGGCAAGTTGCCACGCGGAGTGAGATAGACTGGAGATGAAGAACCGTTCGGAAATTCCTGAACTCATATCTGCCAGCCTCCGCCGCAAAGACAGCGTGAGCAGCAGCGACGGAGGTTTTCCGCGGGGCAAGAAGCTAGAATGAGGTCAGAAGATGACTCGCCAATCATTCCACAGAGAAGTGAAACGGAAGTTAATCGCGAGCAAAGACCACGAGCTTGCTTCGTGGTTGGAGAGACGGGCGGGAGTAGGGCGCATTGAGACGTTTTACGTCAGCCGGCTATTGGCACGACTCGACAAATCATTTGCCTGCCACCAGCGTAATGCTTGAGCGGAAGCGAGTGCAGTCGTTTTCCTGCCTCTCTCAGGCTGGCAAAAAAAAAAAACCAGCAACAGCCTGGCCAAGCATCGACGATGGAAGTGTAGAAATGCGACCACCCCCCTACCGCACATCGTCAGCAGCCGGAGAAGGCTCGGTCTCGAGGCCCACGAGGACCACGTGTCAGAGGGTATCCTTGCCATTGGCTCGGGGAACCCTTGTCCGTCTCGGTGAAGAGGCAGGCGAGTGCATTGGCAGATCTGGAGACTGTGGGGGGTTCGAGGTGGTCCTGTCATCAGCAAGGCGGACGGGAACACCTGGGAACGGCTATTGTGCTGGCAATTGGTTAGGTAAACCTGATGCGGCGTGCTGAGGCGTCCAGTGTCGCCGTGGCTGGGCGAGAGAGAGGTCAAGACGGCAGCGTATGGTTGGACAGCAGACAAGACAAAGAGGAGCGCGTTTTCAACGTGTTTTATCCGCCATCAAGCCACCACCCCTCGTGGGCGAGAAGAAAGGCTTTGGGTTCAGGTTGACAGTGGCCCAATCGGGACAGATCTGCTGCCGGTCTGCGTCAAGAGGGTTCCGTGTGGAGGGTGTTCCAGCGCCCTTCTAGAAGGAGCACCCCTGCCTGGTATCAGTGGGGAGGAGCCACCGCATAAAGGGTACTTTCCCTGCCGGTCCACGAGTGTCCTGCGGACGTTGCGGTCGGCACGGACGCGCCTTTTCTGAATGTAACAGTGCAACATGGAAAAGGACGAAGGGAAGGAGTGCCGCTGGAGGAAAGCACTTTGAAGCACTTTCTTAAGGCGTGAAGACAGGGCAGGGTCGACCAACGATTCAACGGGCAAGAAGCAAGCGAGGTGGGGGCTTCCATGACTGAGGCAACGTGGGGTTGCACCTGGCACCTGCCCTGTGTTGCCCTGTCTCCCATCCATGCCTGCCTGCCTGCCTTCCTCACTCCTCAGCTGTGAGCCTGCCTGCCTGCCTGCCTGCCTGTGCCCATTTCCAGCTTCCGGATGCGAATGCACCCTGATGTCTGAGATCCACGGGCTGGCGTCTGGCCTCCTCAAGTTTATTCCCAAGTTATTCGTATCCATGGTACTGTACCTTGTCTTAATACACTACCTCACCTGAGCACGGATACCTCCGCCGTACCTACCTTGCCTTGGTATCTAAGGCACCTTATCCTGCAGTCAAGTCCTGGTGCGTTCAGACCCAGAGCCCAGCCAGGTCCGGCTTCCGTGACAGTTTGGCAACTGCCCGTCCCTTCTTTCTGGCCTGTCCCTCTCCCCCATTTCCGTTCTGGCTGGCCGCGCACTGCTGCTGTTCCTCGTCTCAAATGACCAACAGTTGGCCCTCACATCTGTCCGATCCCATCTCCCTCCACAAAGCGTACGTATGGCCAACCAAAGCTTGTCCGCTGAGAGCCGGGGCCATCTTACGACAACGAGAACGAATTCTTTTTCAGCGTTCGGTGTCTCTCTCTGCTGCATTTCTGTTCATATTTGCGTTAGCGCCATGTCAACGTTCCTTAGGTCGTCTGCCCAGCCTTTCGAACGCTGCAGAAAGCCCCGCCCCTGGCAGAAGAGTGAACATACGGCGGTATCGCCAACACGTGGCCCGGGATTAATCTCACCTGCGCCTTCTGGGCCCACGTCGTACCACTCACTCATTGCATCCATCCTCTTACACTCACAGTCGCCCGCTGCCGTTTACTCTTTTAAAGTACGTTTCTTGTTCGTCTCTTCAACTAATTCTGGCAGAGTGCGAAAAACTCAATCTCCAGTCTCATTCCAAGTTTTCTCCAATTAGCGCAGCACATTAACAACTTGAGACATCTCTCCCTTTGGGATCAGACACCGAGCTTCCCAAAATGACTGCATACTTTCTCCATCCCGACACACTCATCATTTTGACTTTGGGGCTCGCCGTTCCTGGACTGTGTGGCCCCCAAACTCCCACCGGGAGTCAATAAACAACCCCCCTAACCTTGGAGGCATGCGAACCACCACCACGATAAGGCTCCTTTCAACCTAAACTTCGTCCAACGAGTCCATTTCCGCATCTGTTTATCGTCCTACATCATTGTCGTTTCCTGCCTCATTTAACCTCACATCAAGCACAGTCCACGTCTTTGCTGATGCTACAGGCAAAGACAAGGCCGACAGTTAACACGGACATAACGTTCCCCGTCCCATTCCGCCTATCCAATCGGTCACTTCGCGGCCGGCGCCCCCCTCATCCCTGGTTCAGGCATCCCCTTGCGACAAGCTTGCCTTGTCGTACCCTGTCGCCCACGTTCAGCCCCTCGCTCGCCCCATCAGGTGTGCCATTACGAACGTCCTGCAGAACGGATCCTGCGGGACGTAGGTGGCATGCGCCTCTGCGGCCCAGACGGTCTTGCAGCACATTCCCTTTAAACTCTCCCACACCCCTTCATTCCGCGCACCTACATCCGAGCCGCTTGAACTTAGTCCCCTGATCTTCAACGCCCAGAGATCTCGCCGCAATCACTTGTATTTCGAGTACCAGTCTAATAACCCGGAGAACCCCATCGAGTCGACCGACACCGCCTGTGACGACGACATTCTTGGACTGACGCTGGAGGGGAGGATCACCGGAGGAGGACGACGCATCTTGGTATACGAACGACTTCCGATTTCATCATGGCTGCCGGGCGAACCATCGAGTTATAGATCGGGCCACAACGCCGTCGTAATCAATCGCCCTCACCGCTCGAGCATTCAACCGCTAGACTTCTGAAGATGGATGACATGTTACCGCCGCCGATGACCCCCTCCGAGCGAGGGGGTTACCGGCGGACCAACGGAGGCAACAATGCTTTTCACAACTTTTACAACGACTATTCGCACATATCAGACCCCGCCCTACGGAGGCGGCTGGCTTTGAGCGAGATTGACAAAGTTCCTTTTGGCTTATACCGTTAGTAGATGATTGCCCATTTGCCGACGCGTGTTCACTAACACGATGGAACAGATGTGAGAGCGATTTTGGTAGCAGGTGTTGGATTCTTCCTCGACTCGTACGATATTTTTGCAATCAACCTCATTATCACCCTCCTGGGTGTTGTTTTCTGGCAAGGGCCTCCGGATCAAATTCAGCATGGCTACGGCGGTAACCACGGAGAGTTACCGGGCTCCGTCAACTCCGCTCTTAAGGCTTCGACTAGTGCTGGAATAATCATCGGCCAGCTTGTATTTGGCTGGCTTGCGGATGTCTTCGGCAGGAGGAGGATGTACGGGGTGGAGCTTGGCATCATTATCTTGGCGACGCTGAGCGCTGCACTTGTCTCGCCAAGTCAGTCCGTTGGGTTCACAGGGCTAATGATCTTTTGGAGAATTATCATGGTAGGGACACAATGGGTTTCCTCTATGCCCGCATAACTAACAACGAGCAGGGCATTGGAATTGGCGGCGACTATCCGCTCAGCTCGGTCATCACCTCAGAGTACGTTATCCCTCCTGTCAAAATTATAACCGGGGAAAACTTTAGCTAACACTCGCAACAGATTTGCGCCAACCCGCTGGAGAGGAGCCATGATTGCTGCAGTTTTCAGCATGCAAGGTTTGGGGCAACTTGGTGCCTCAGTTGTCGCCCTCATTACGGCAGAAGCCTTTAAAGAATCTTACCTCGACGTCACCACGATCGCCAGCTGCCATGAACGTTGTCAACTTGCTGCCGACCGTTCATGGCGTATCATTGTCGGAGTCGGTGCCCTACCAGCCTGTCTTGCCTTGTACTACCGCGTCACCATTCCCGAGACGCCCCGTTATACCTTTGATGTGGAGCAGGATGTCGAGAAGGCTGACGCCGACATCAAGGCGTACATGGCTAGCAAATCGAAAGGCGAAGTCGACCCAGAACTACAATTCAGGATGAAGAAACAGGCTGGACCCGCATATAACACCCCGAGTGCCTCGTGGCGCGATACGTTTGCGTTCTTCGCCCAGTGGAAGAACTTCAAGACCTTGATGGGCACTGCCTTGTCCTGGTTCTTCCTTGTAAGTCACCCTGCTCCTCGACCACCGTGAATTCGCTGACATACGAGGCAGGATCTGGCATTCTATGGCCTAGGATTAAACAACACCTCTGTGCTCCAAGCCATTGGCTACGGCGACGGAGCCAATTTCTACGAGAAGCTACACAATCAAGCAGTCGGCATGATCATTTTGTCATCTGCTGGAGCCATCCCTGGTATGGGTTTTCTTGCAAATATGCCTCGGAACTCTTTCCGCTGACATTGTCATTTCAGGGTACTGGGCCAGTGTATTCGCCATCGACACCATGGGTCGCAAGCCCCTGCAGATGTTGGGGTTCTTCGTTCTGACCGTCTTGTTTTGCATCTTGGGCTTCATGCTTCATCAGCTTCCGCACCCAATCTTCCTCACGCTTTACATTATTGGACAATTCTTCTTCAACTTCGGTAAGTGCTTGGAACGTGCCGTCTTCGCTGACCAAACTAACATGGACAGGCCCGAACACGACAACCTTCATCGTTCCGGGAGAGTGCTTCCCGACACGCTATCGATCTACGGGCCATGGTATCTCAGCAGCGATGGGCAAAGTCGGCGCTATTCTTGCACAAATTATTAGTATCCCGTTGTTGTCGAAGGATACGCCTGCCGACTGTCACGGCAATGCCTGCTCGCCATGGCTTGACCGTCTTCTCGAGCTGTTCGCTTTGTTCATGTTCTTGGGCATGCTCGCCACCCTCCTGATTCCCGAGACGAAAGGAATGACGCTCGAAGAATTGGCCGGCGAGACCCCAACCTCTTACGATCGCGGTCGCAACGGCAGTATATCACACTACCCGCGCTACAGCGGCAGATGGAACCCTTTCGCTGGCGGCCACCCTGCTGGTTTCCATTACCCCCGTATGAGCAACATTCGGGCTGTCCGCGTCGGCATCATGACGTCTCCGGACCTTCTAGCCGAAGAAGAACGCAGGAGGAGAAATCAAACCAGGTTCTGGCGGAAGAGGAGGAAGGACAGGGGTGCAAATAATAGCACCGGTAGCTCGGACGAGTACGCCATGACTTTCCGAAATAGCGGCGTATCTTCTTCCTACGGTCCCTCCACGGCCAACGCAGACGAAATACCACCTGAACAGGTCCCAACTTGGGGCGCTGGGTGGGGCAGAATCGATCGCGGTGCGCAGCCCATGGAGAACGTGAAGCTGCACGATGCCGGAAACCTCTTGCGCCGAGATTCGAGAGCATGATTTCTTTCTTTTAGGAAAGCGTCTGAAAGGGAAAGCGGGCGTTTGGGCAGGACTTTATGTATTATGACTGGGAAAAACGCAAGTGAATTGCTCTTATGATTATGTGTATGTATTATATGTCCAGCTAGACAGTACATGAGTAATGTCATCATGAGGCTGCTCACGCAGCAACATCAGCCAACGGTCCAAAAAAGATTGCAAGTCGCGGACGACTGTGACCATGATCAGTGGGAGGCTTGAACTCCCGGCCTTGGCATTACTCAACACATCTGATGATGTATTAGTACCACGCTCTAACCAACTGAGCTAACCGACCAGCTGTTGTTGGAGGGAGATGCCCTAGCCCTTACTGTATGGGGCGGTGGGCGGAGGTGGATGTGGTGATGATTTTGAAGCGGGCCGGAGTCGGAGTTGGTGGGTCGCCGGCCGGGGAGCGAACGACGGCTGGGCAGAGAACCTCGGCAGTGGCAAGCAGTCTAGTGTAGCAGGTAAGTGAACAGACGATAATTCTGGTTAAATCTGATCCGAGGGATGTTGGTTTCTGCTTTCAATAAGCTGGAGTGCCCATCTAGAGGTAGGCGTTTATGTTATACTACGTTGTCTTGTGGCATGTCTTCGAGACGCGTAGATAAACCGGCCAGGCGCCGACGCAGCGCTTAATCTATGCCTTTTAATCTTCATGACCTCGTCCGGTCTGATCAGCTGCTTGTTTGTGTAATGCCGGCACATAGGCCTCTCAGGGGTATGGTCTGATTTTGGTTTCTGAAGGAAACATAGCAGGCATCGACAGCAAGGTTAGAGGGAAAATAGCAAACCTCTACCGCTTGCAGTATTCTTTAAAATCGTATATCTGACATTAACATGGTAGCCAAAGTCAATTGACTTAAATACTTGGCGCGGGATATTTGAGCGCGGTGTCCCGAACGATTTCTCATTCAAAAACCATGTAAGTTGAATCAGCATTTGCTCTTACCGGAGGTAGACCTCGTAACAAACAATTGATTGGAATGGCAACGTGCTGAGGGCGACCGCGCGCGTCTAAAGCTGAGACAAGAAAGAATTCTGAAACTAGGAGAATATAGGTAGAGTAAAAGAAAGATCAGCATCGCGACTGATTGAAACAAAGCCGTCAACTCGCATCTCAGTGTCGCACGCTGTGGGCTTAAGTGTGGGTCGGGCGAACACGGATGCTCCGCAATCGCGCTACTTAAGCCGCAAACTTGTCCGGACCCGTAACGCCTCCAATCAACAATTGGAGATCCCGAACCTGGCCGGCTGGCGCAATGGTAGCGCGTCAGACTTCTATCCGCTCTTGAGCGGTGTAGCAATCTGAAGGCTGCGGGTTCGAGCCCCGCGTTGGTCAACTTTTTGCATTGTCGTGTAATGTTTGTGACGTCGACTTTTATCTACGTGGCCTGCCGGCTTGTGAGTTTTGCTGGTGAGATGCTCCGGCAAGAGGAAGGGGCCGCAGTTTCTACAAAGATGGCTTGCGTGCTTCAGGATATGATTTTTGTAGACGGTGTAATTGAAGCTCTAAGGGTCCTTTGTCCACGAATCAGCTACGTCATTCAGCGTTCCATAGTGGCCTAAGGTGAGAAAGGGTCCGCCGCCGCTGGTCTTCGCTTGTTGCACACCTGAAGCTCACCGAAACCAAAACGCCCCACTAAATTCCTGGTGGTCGCATAACCGCAAACCGCCGCGTCGAGCTCCCAGCTTCCTCCTCTCAAGGCAAGCTCACGCAGCCCAGATTGCAAGATGGTACGTATGCCCGCGCCGGCTCTCATGCCCAGAGAACGCAGAGGCGACTGCGATTCTGATGTTTTATTCGCTTTTGGCGCCGCATGTTTCGCTAACGCTGTCCCGGTCTCGCAGTTACCCCTCGGTCTTTTGAACGCTGCCCAAGGGCACCCTATGCTCGTGGAGCTCAAGAACGGCGAAACGCTCAATGGCCACCTCGTCATGTGCGACACTTGGATGAATTTGACGTTGAAGGAGGTCGTGCAGACGAGTCCGGTACGCGACGGCTATCAGTCCTCCCGACCGGACGCCCTCGACTGACGTGGATACAGGAAGGCGACAAGTTTGTGAAGATACCCGAGGTTTACGTGAAGGGAAACAACGTATGAACAATGGCCTGCGACCCAGTTTGAATCCAGAGAGACGGAACGCTGACGCGCTGCAACAGATTAAATACCTCCGAGTTCCCGACGATATTATCGATCTGGTCAAGGAGAACCAGCAAAACAACCAGGGAGGTTTCCGCGGAGGCAGGGGCGGACAATCGAGAGGCGACCACGGCGGCCGCGGCGGAGACAGGGGACGCGGTAGAGGACAGAGAGGCGGCCGTGGAAGGGGCCGCGGCCCATCATCATGAGGCGGAAGGTTTCCATGACTGCGAGGAATGCGAGAATGAGCTACGGCGCAACGGGCCACGCAGAGGTCCAGAATCCAGAATAATACCAAAGCAGAGAAGCATCTGCCCATGGAACCCATCAAAGAGCGTCTCGCGACGGAGGGACAGGGCGTGCTGGTGCTGGGCTGACGGTTGGAGACTTCCCTAGGCATCATCAGCAGCTACCTGAGCCTAGAAACGCGTGCACGCCGAATGAATCATTTTAAGTACTCTACAATCAAACAAGAGATATCCATGATATGAGTGTCATGTTCAAGTGCTTTGCCCGTGTACATATTGCTGCTCTTCGAGAGCCCTCCTGGAACAGTCATTGGACGTCACGTGACCCCGCGCCGGCCAGGATGTTTGGTGACGAAAGCTCCGAATTCTGCCAGGTACAGCTCCAAGAATTTCGGCAGAAACGCGACCCCCGAGTATTGCGAACTCCCATGTCGGGATCCCGAATAGTTTTCGACGGCTTATGGCGCTGCCTATGCCCTTCCGTCGACGCACATGCCGCAGCAAAATTACTGAGCTCTCCAGCCATCGCCCGTCCGTCACCCGCAACGAGACTCCGATTCCCCTCCACCCTCACCAATCGACCCCGCGCAGTCCGAACACAATGTCGACGGTACGGGGCCGGCGCATACCGCAAAGCTGCCACTCAGAAGGAGCTTGAAGATGCGAGAAGCCGACTTGTGCCCGTTGAAGACGAGCCGCCGGCGAGACAACGACCGCGGGACCCCTCTAAACCGGACCCAATAGAAGCCCTGCGAGCTGCCCCGGAGGCTGCTGTGTACGAAGCACTGGAAGTCTTGCGCGGGCAGCCGAAGAGCTTCGACAAGGTGGCTACGATCATAGCGCACTTGGTCACTGACCGCGACGCCGAGTTGAGCCCTGCGCTGTACGAGCACTTGGTCGTCGCCATGGCAGATGTCCAGGGTTCCGCAGCGATGCTGGCACAGCTGTTTGCGGAGATGAGGGAGCTTCGCTTGGCGCCCTCGCCAGCAATTCATCACGCAGCGCTAGCGGTACGATATCAGAAGAAAAAGTGCCGGATCTCGTAAGCTAACCGGTGGGAATACAGGCTCTCGCAGTCCACCCCGATTACATAGTCCGAAACGAGGTCCTAGCCGCCATGAAACAGTCCTGGACGGAAATCAACCCGGAAGCAGACGGCCACGTCGCCCTCGGCCTGCTCCGCGACGGGCAGTTCGAGCTCGCCCTCGACAAGCTGGAGAGCATGATCGACAATCACGTCCCCGTGCAGCCGTGGGTCTACGACATCTTCATCTTCATGTTCGCGCAGCGCGGGTTCGTCGAGGAGGCAGTCCGGCTGGCGCACAGCAAGGCGCACACCACCGCCGCCGACGACGCCGCCGAGAGCCCGCTGTCCATGTGGCACATGCTCCTCGACGTCTGCAGCCAGGCGTACCACTACGAGGGCACGCGGTACGTCTGGGGCCGGCTGTACGAGGCGGACAGGTACAGCCTGCCCGAGGGCGTGCTGCTGAACATCATCAACACCGCGGCGCGGCACCACGACTTCGAGCTGGTCACGAACGCGAATAAGCTGATTGCGCAGCGGGGCGGGAAGTTGCAGGCGCATCACTACGAGCCGCTGATTGATTGCTACGGCGGCGTCGGGGACTTGGAGGGGGCGCTGAGGGTGTTGTGCATCATGTTCAACGCCATCTCCGTTGCGCCATACGCCAGCGCGCGCTCGATCTATGAGTGGGTCAAGAAGGAGCCGGAGAGCCTGGATTTAGCCCTCGAGGCGCTGGCTACGTTGAAGAAGGAGTACAAGATCCCGATTGCGGCGCTCAATGTACTCGTCGAGGCTGCGGTGGAGACGCAAGGGTATGCCAAGGCGCTGGAGATTTACAAGAATGCCCCTAATTACACGGAGGCTCCCCCGAACCACGTCACGGTCCGGTATCTTCTGCAGGCCTGCGAGGATGCGGAGGCGCGGCGGGTGCTGGTAGCCGAGGACCCGGAGCTGGCGCTTAAGGGCGACCGGCAGGTCTTCGCGGACGTCGTCTTCGAGCACGTCATGGCCGGCGACCTTAACATGGCGTACAAGTGCGTGGAGATGCTAGGCGACGCTCCCGACCCGGAGTCGGGCGCCAAGCCCGAGGTGTGGATCAGCCAGCAGACGTTGCTGGTGCTTGTGAGGAAGTCGCTTGATGCACAGGATGAGCGCGTCTGGTGGCTGGTGGAGCAGGCGGAGAAGAGGAACATGGACGTCCAGTCTGGCATTGCGAAGCTGATGGCGTCGTTTGCGGAGCAGGTGAAGAGGACTACGGGGCTGGGCGAGGAGACTGGCGGGTTGGAGGACGATTCTGAGACGAGGCATCCTTGGACGTCGTGATGACTATCGTGGTGTTGATCAGCTGTTGAATCAATCTTGGTAGATGTCAGTGAGTGTTCATAGAGAGAGGCACAGGTCGGATCAAACGTGCGTTGTCAGATGAACTTGATAACCCCTTAAGTCTTTTGAGAATAGAAAACACACAAAGAATAAGATCACGACACCAAATCTATGAAAGCCAATTTGCCAGCTGCTCACGACATCTTCACGAACTCCCAATACCTGCTGCAGCTCCTCATCATGAGCTTCGAATTCATCATCAATGCCTACTTAATCAGACATGAAAATCTTGAGATTAAAGCTATGCACATCGTATGGTACCAGGGGATCTAACTAGTGATGCCGCTGGTAGCGAGTATGCCGCAGAGAACGCAGTTGGTCACAGTACATTATCTTTCCGCACCTGAGGTGTGCTGGGTCTCTGGCTCGTCAAGGCACATCGGCTCGCCAGCGTTCAAGTCATCTTCGATCATGAGTTTGGCCATGCCCTGTGAAACGTCAAGATCCAGGTCCAAGTTTCGACTTACTGAAGGCGACTGCTGCTCCACGGGGCTGTCCACGGCCATGGCGTCCTCGTCGTTGACATACTCCGGGCAGGTGTTGGAGGACATTGCGGCGGAGAAGCATCGATGGTTGAAGACGATGATGTGGTTGATGTGACTCTCTAGGCGATGAGTGTTTTCGCAATGTTGTTGATGGACGCAAATGACAAGTTGCAATGACGGTGTCTGAATGGTGGTATTGTGCAGTTGTGGTGCCCCAAGAGCCATCAGGGGCTATGGCCGATGGACATATTATAAGGCTCACATCTTGAATACGGGTAAGATCAAATGGCGATTGGATCGAGACCAGTTTCAAGAGTAACCATTGTCGCATCGTTGAAGGCCCCCCTGGAAGACCACTGAAATCCTCAGACCTTCTACACAATGAAAGTGCAGTTGGAAGACCGGACTTGTTCTTGACAAGTTTCAGACTATAGCTCTGAGACTCTTCATTGAGATACAAGAAACGCACAAGGGTCTGTCAAAGTATCGCGGCTGAATCTCTCGACCAAGTTGGCCTTATCATAGGCGGCATAATCTCAAAGAAGGCCATGCGACAGGAAGCTTTGATGACAGGTCGCGAATCTGAAGTTGGGCAGCTAGAAAGAAAGTGAGTTATCCCAAAGAATGTGATGGTTACTAAAGTGTTAAGCATACGTGACTGCTCAGAAGTCAGGTTGCCCAAGAAGTCAATGAAGTAGGGGGGTGGTAGAATAAAGACATGAACTCTGTCATTTCTGCATGAAGTCAACGAAATCTTGCGATGCCCGGGCAGGATACATCTTAGAAGAGTATAACCCGTCAGAAAAAGCCTTTCGGATGTTGCATATGGGTATGTGTTAGTAGGGTAAAACATAGTTTGGTCATAGGTACTTGATAGTTGGGGAGATGATGAACCAAGCTTGACAGTTATCACTGAAGATCCTCTCGCTGCAAATGATTCCAGAGCTGTGCATAACATCGGACTTAGCAAGCACGGAGACTAGCACTATTCCCGCTCACCAGAGAGCCATGTGCAACGTCCGAACGCTCGTGTGTCCCGACCTCAACCGGAAACCCGAGAGGGTGGTCCAGCGTGACTCATCTGCCGTCGAACAACCTTATCTAAACCGTTGTTGCCGGGATGCAGACATGAGACGTAGCTTGGGCACTAAAGGCTTGAATCGAGGCTCTGCTGACAGACTCATCGCAGCTGAATAATTCGACCATTGTGCCTGAGGAAGGGTCTTATCGGCAGCCACAGGGGCATCAAGCTTCTGCACATGAGACGACGTGAACACCTGGAATCATCATCTAGAGCTAATCAAACAACCTCACGTCTCGTGAAGAAGTTTCCAAACGGCCAGGGGGATCTTGTTCAGTGGTGCTTACTGTATGCTGCAAACGTTCCTGACGTGCCATCTGCCGACGCAAGCCACAGACCAGCGCACCTCGACGGCTTTCTCTCAGGCTCTAAGCTTCAACATCGAAGTGGCATTCTAATTGCTTGGCGGCATACGGATTTATAAGAGTCGGAGGAAAACATCTTCCCATTCGAGAATGGTGTAACCTGTGAGTCGGCGCGGGATGACGATTGGGCTTAGACTTTTGACCCCAACCGCACATTAGCTTTCTTTCTTACGGACAAGCCAATCACAGACAGCCTTGCAAACAGATTTACGAGGGATGCCGGATCTCGCTGATAAATACACCAAAATCCGTGGGGCGGATTAGTGATTCTGTCATGTACCGCTCGTTATCCTGATCTTACACGGAAGCACCAATGTCCGACCATCAGCACTATCACTCACTACACATTCAGGGACCGCCAACTGCTCACACGGGCCTAGCGTGCTAAACTCCAGCGCCCGCCGCAAGCCATCTCCCTCCCCACAGCGTCACGTCAGCCCTAGATGATGTTGTCTCTTGCTCCAGACGACTCGGATTGAATCGCAAAGTCCAGACGCGAAACGAGGGTCCAATGGCCCGGTGACACGGTTAGATCTTACCGCAGCAGATTTGAGACGTGGTAATCAGATTTGCCCATTGGGGAAATCGAGTGCCCTAGTCCCTGCGCCGCTTGAGCACGACAGCAACCCATACAGGCGGTACCATGCATGCGTGCCATCTCCCTTTCCGGTAGCTTCGAAAGCTTCGATCCGGTGTGATTCATAATTGATGCTCACAGGCGCTAGAAAGGGGACTTGATTTCTTCCGCGTCGCGTTTAATGGTGCTCGTAAGCCCGGGCTGCCACGGACGGACGAAGGGTTGACACCTGCTCGGTCATCATTGACGTGCTAGGCGCGATGTTAGTTCCTTTGGTGTTGATGTTAGAGGCTTGTTCCATTGTTCGTCCGAGATGATGATGGCTATATAGATGACCTGAATATCTCATGTCTAGAATTCTCTTTGCTCACCACTCCATCAGCTTCAACATCAAGCATACTTGACCTGAAGGCATAGACACATCCAAGTCTAGAGCCTGCGACAGCGAACCAACCAACCCAACATCGCTCCAGCGCACAATTTGCATCATAGATACCAGCGCCCAAGCTACATCATCACATAACGTCTCAATGGCGAACCTAATCATAGACGCCCCGGTGGGCCAGCTCATCCGTCTCCTCACAGGGACGAAGTTCCTCCGCTACCCGGAAGAAGAGCCCGACTTCCAGCTCCCGCAACAATGGCTTGACGTTATGAATTCTTCCGATGAGAAGGACGACACCGCCGAAGCCACCCCAGCCGTAACATCACCGGCGCCGGCCAGCTCCTCCGCTTCCAGCCACAGCGATGAGGAGAACACCCTTTCCAAGGAGAAGACAGCTGACGCCGGACCGTACGGTGTCGGGGCCACCCGGACGAGGAGCAGAGAGGAGACGGCTCCGTACTCACAGGAACGCATGGAAGTCGACGAGGCTCACGAGATTGAAAGGACCAAGAGCATACCTATCGCACCAAAGAAGACCAAAGATGGCGCTATTTTGGTGGATTGGTACTTCTCCGACGACCTGAGCAATCCTTTGAATTGGTCTAACAACAGGCGCCTCCTGATCACCGCCATTATCTGCATCTACACATTTGTTGTGTATACCTCATCAGCAATCTACACGAGCTCAATCGAGGGTGTCGTCAACGAGTTTGGTGTCAATCTCACGGAAGCTTCACTGGGCCTTGCCCTCTTCGTCCTGGGATACGGCATCGGGCCACTGGTGTTCTCTCCCCTCTCCGAGATCCCTAGAATAGGGCGCAACCCGATCTACATTGTCACGATGCTTCTCTTTGTTATCGTCTCTATCCCTGCGCCTTTGGTCGACAACTACGCCGGCCTGATGGTCCTCCGTTTCCTGCAGGGTCTCTTCGGCTCTCCATGCCTTGCCTCGGGAGCCGCCTCACTGGGTGACATCTACTCCATGATGAATCTCTCTTACCCATTTGCACTCATCATGTGGACTAGCTCTGCATACTGCGGTAAGCAACTCCCGATCGTACTCCTTATCAACATCATTCTGATCCTGAACTAGGTCCCGCTCTTGGCCCCCTCCTCTCAGGCTACGCCGTCACCGCCAAGGGCTGGCGCTGGTCCCTCTGGGAGATCCTCTGGGCCGCCGCCCCTGTCTTCATCGTGATGTTTATCTTCCTTCCCGAGACCTCTGCCCCTAACATCCTCCTCCGCCGCGCCAAACGTCTCCGCAAGCTCACCGGCAACTCGCGCTTCATGTCGCAATCCGAGATCGACCAGCGCAATCTCAAGACCTCGGCCGTAGTCATCGATGCCCTCATCAAGCCCCTCGAGATCACCCTCAAGGACCCGGCCATTCTCTTCGTCCAAATCTACACGGCCATCATCTACGGCATCTACTACAGCTTTTTCGAGGTCTTCCCCCTCGTCTACCCGGTCTACTACCACATGTCCCTCGGCCAGATCGGTCTCGTCTTCCTGTGTATCCTGGTCGCCTGCCTGATCGGCGTCGCCATGTACATGTCTTACCTCGCCTTCTACATGATCCCGCGCATCCGCAAGTTCGGCTTCCCCGTGCAGGAGAGCCGCCTTGTTCCTGCTTTGCCTGCGGCTTTTGGCCCCACGATCGGTCTATTCATCTTCGCGTGGACGGCATCGCCTGCGATCCACTGGATTGCGCCGACGATCGGAATCACGGTCTACGGCGCCACGGTGTTTGTGGTGATGCAGTGCATCTTCGTGTACGTCCCGCTGAGCTACCCGCAATATGCAGCCAGCCTGTTTGCCGGTAACGACTTCTTCCGGTCGGCGCTGGCCTTTGCGAGCATCCTGTTCGCGAGGCCGTTGTATGGCAACCTTGGTGTCGCAAGGGGCACGAGTCTGCTCGGTGGACTGAGCACGATTGGAATCATTGGAATCTGGCTGCTTTACTTCTATGGAGCGAGGTTGAGGGCCAGAAGTACCTTTGCTATCTCTGGATGAGCGAACCGAGGAAGAGTCTACATTTGATGGGAGTTGGCACAGCGTTGCGTGGAGTCGTTTGAGCTGATTGGCTCTGTTTGATGGTGTACCTAGGCCGGGGGAATTATAGGAAATTGGGAGTCTTGATGATATGCATAATGCTTAGACTTCATCTCGATCTAGACTACACAACTATTGATCATACCTTGCGTCCTTCCATTGAACTCTTAAACTTTGGATTTGGCGCTGAGTCGACATGCTCTATGCTGCCTTGCAGAACCCTCATACATATTGCAACACGTAGCTGGTAATATCCTCATCAATAACCCCAGCATAAGTATTGACGCCGCGAGTAGGAATCGATAGTCTATGTTCAAGCTTGCATTTGGATTAAGAAACAGTTGTTATCACTGAATCAATAGTAGTCAATTACAATATGTTTCGGATACCTCCTCGATCACAAAGCTGAACGCCATGATGAACAGAAGTCTTTCACAGAAGTCTCTCATTTCCCATTTGACGGTGATATCGAATGTATCCGTGCCGATAACACATCTCGTGCAAGTCATGCTTGTAGTCGTTTGCAATTCAAATCCCTTAAACCTCGATAGGACACTAATTGTCGTGATACGTTTAACGTAGCTGCCATGCAAGCTTGAACTCTGGACCCAAATCAATTGATCTGGGCTATCCGCACGTTCTATTGCGACTGCACCCATATCTTTAATCCTTCTCCTCTGAGCACTCTCAGCTGAGCCTCGAGTGGGAACTAGGAGGGTAGGGGACACGAGTCAACTATGAACTGCATCAAATCGCACTTTCTACGGTACGAGAACCAGGAGGTGGACAGCTCCGACTGACCCTGAGAAGACAACAAGTTTGACTCATGGCCCAATTCCTACTCGGAGTTCGGACTTTTCACCAGACATACGTCAATACGAACAGATAGCTAGATCCAGGGACGTTTTCCGCGGGGGCCCCATTTTGACAACATGAGCTTTTTCTTCTACAACAGGGCCAAAGTCCGAGAATATCTCCCAATTTCCATTTAAAAAAGTGGTGATCGTAGTGATTTTAGGCTAGCTGACAGGATGACGAAATCGAAAGACCCGATGGCGACAGCCGTTGATATGGCTCTGGTATCCATTTGGTCTGCTATGGAGTCAACCCGGTTGGTCAATGGAAGGGGCATGGGCGGCCGAGTATCCACACCCGTTACCACGGGGCCCCCCGGACCGCCGTCTAGTTCACATTTGAGTCGGGGCCGGCCCCCTTTTGGAGTGACATTCGAAAGGTACTGCGTAGAAGCCGATGGGAGTGTGAGGTCGGAGAAATGATGCACTTGTCCGTCATTGCTAATTAGCGCATGGTAATGAAATTCTGGATATGTAGTCGGTGTAGCCTCGACGGCGAGCTTGAAAGGGGAGGGCTTGGTTCTTTTTCTTCCGCGCTTTGCTCGTGAATCTTTGCTGCCGTTGGACACTCTCAGAATTGGAGGTCGATCGTTGCAATGTCATTTCTCAGTCTGTCAAAGCTGTTGACCGCGGCGCTCAGCGCCAGCGCTGTGGTGGCGCAGAACGTTCAACAGCGCCAACCCAACATCGTGTTCATTCTGACCGACGACCAGGATGAACAGCTCGGCTCACTCGATTACATGCCGTTCGTACAAAAGCACTTCGTGAATGAGGGAACATATTACCGCAAGCACTTCTGCACTATTTCGATCTGCTGCCCGTCGCGAGTCAGCTTGTTGACAGGTCAAGCTGCTCACAACACCAACGTCACCTACGTCACTCCGCCTCATGGTGAGCAAAGTCTGTCACATCCCATCGCGAGACTTTCTAACCGGCATGTTATCCAGGTGGATATCCTAAGTTCGTCTCTCAGGGATACAATGAGAAGTATTTGCCTGTCTGGCTGCAGGATGCTGGTTACAACACCTACTACACGGGCAAGCTCTTCAACGCCCATAGCACCGACAACTGGAACAACCCCCACCCTAAGGGTTGGACAGGAAGTGATTGTAAGCATTCGGGAAGCGAAATATGCTCTGAAATCAGCTAACTTTGCTGCTCAGTCCTGCTTGATCCCAATACCTACCTTTACTTGAACGCAACCTTCCAAAGAAACGACAGCCCGCCACAGACGTACCCCGGGGAGTACAGCAATGATCTTGTCGCCGAGAGAGCACTTGGTTTCCTGGATGACGCCCTCAAGTTCAACGGCAGCAAGCCTTTCTTCGTCGGTATCGCACCCATTGGGCCTCACAACAACGGCCTCGGCGGTGAGACAAGCGCAGGAGCTACGCCGCCGATCCCCGCCAAGAGACATGAGAACCTTTTCCCCAACATCACCGTCCCCAGGACATATAACTTCAACCCCGATAAGGTGATTTGAATCCTGGTCCATTCCTCGGTGCAACGTGAATACTGACCTGTTCATGTAAAAGCCTAGCATGGCCAACTGGGGCTTGATTATCCCCAAGCTCAACTCCTCTGAAATTGCCTACGGCGACAACTACTACCGCCGCCGCCTTCAGACGCTGCAATCTGTTGATGAAATGGTCGATGCTGTTTTCAAGCGTCTCGAAGATGCCGGCGTTCTCGACAACACCTACGTCATTTTCACTTCCGACAACGGCTTTCACATTGGCCAGCACCGTCTGAAGCCGGGAAAGACCTGCGCTATTGAGGAGGACATCAACGTTCCGTTCCTCATCCGTGGACCCGGTGTTCCCAAGGGAAAGACGGTAGACTTCGTCACTACCCACACTGACATCGCCCCCACCATCTTTTCGATTGCCAACATTACCCTCCGCGATGACTTTGATGGGTCACCTATCCCTTTCTTGGAAGACGGTATCGCCAAGGCGCAGAATGATCCCAAGCATGATCACGTCAACGTCGAGTTCTGGGGCACGCAGCGCGGTTATGATGTTTTTGGAGGAGGTAAGGAGAACTTTGAAATCGAGATGGGGCTTTCGCTGACGAGTTTCTACAGTCTCGGCCAACAACACTTACAAAGCCATGCGTGTTCTTGGAGATGGTTACAGTTTGTTCTATTCCGTTTGGTGCAGCAATGAGCGCGAGTTCTACGACATGAAGGTGAGTTGCCATTCTGAACTCCGAAACCACAAAAGTGACATGGTTACTGACACCCAAAACAGAAGGACCCGGGTCAGATGGACAATCTGGCTGGAAGCGCAACTGGCCAACTCCTGGATAGGCCCTTGGCGTCTGTGCAGGACCGTCTGGATGCCCTTCTCCTAGTCCTGAAAAGCTGCAAGGCGGAGAGTTGCAGACTTCCCTGGAGTCAAATCCATCCCGATGGCACAGTCAACAACCTTCGCGATGCTCTGGATGCTAAGTACGATGACTTCTACGCCGGACAGCCAAAGATTTCATTCTCGGACTGCAAGGACTTTTACGACATTGGATCCGAAGGGCCGCAGGAGCTCTTGCACTACGACCCGTGAGTCATGTGTGACTGAAGTTCAATGACAAAGCATGAATAATGAATGATATAGAAAAGCTATTGGTGCTGAAAGCCCGTGGCAGCTGCCAGAGTTTGAGGAGCTGTGAAAGCTTCAAGCATTACATATTGGATACAACAGAAGTAATAGAACGATAATCTCAAATCTTGCAAGAGTTTATGATGAAATCGCCGTCATAATTCATATTGTGGACCAAAGGAGGTTGAACAAGGTTCTTTCTGGCGATTCTGAAGTAATGAATTTGATACTAACGGTACTGAAGCTGTATTTATGCAGTCTATCCAACCAAAAAGAAACATTTCTTCCCTTCTAACTTTTATTCTTCGCAGTTTGCCGCCTGGACGCGCACCTTGTTGACTGCGAGTCAACCAAAAGAAATTGGAGTAGCCTAAGTGCATGTCGGGTTTGACGGAGCAACAAGCCCCTGAACTCAATCCATCTCGATGTTCAGCCGGGATGCAAGCCTGACGCCATAACATACCATGGCGAAGATTGTAATCAAATTGAGATGAATGCTCATGGCATGATTTCGGGAAAATCGCCTCCGGCAAGCTTGCATGTCTGGGCTAATTTCATCAACGGCGTCTGGCTGTTTTGCGTCGCGAGTTTCTGTATTGAGTGTCAGCACAACCGTCTTGACGGAACGAATGCGGCTTCTTGTTACCCTGATGAATACGATCAATCATTGCTTGTTTCGTTCTGGGGCCATAGATGAACAGGTTCAGGATTGCGGTGACGCCGGCAATGGCAAATGGAACCCAATCCCGCTTTTCTTTCAGTAGAGATGCTGGCCCACGGGGCGGGAATGTGAGTGCCGTTAAAACGAGCAACATAGATTGGCATCGAAAGTAGATGGGGAAAAGTCGCTTTTGAAGTGTTGTGAAAGCCGTCTTTGGAAGCTCGTTATAACAAACTTTGGTGTTGACGAAGGTCTGGAAGAGGGTTGTGCCAAGTAGAGTTGCGTATGAGATGATGTGGCAAGGAGCTAACAGAGTCGCCATGGTTGATGAAAATGATTGGACCAAGGTAGAGATTGTCATGTCTGAACCAGCCATCTAGTAATATAGTTTGATGTTGGAGAAGCAATTGGGAAATAGGGAATATCTTCGCTTTTATCTCAGCCAAGTTGCGCGTGTGTGAATCTGGATGTGCGTCAACGTTCCGACGAACTGTAAGTTCCGAACACCTTCGGATAGAATGCTAGGTGGCTGTGCGTACCCAAAACTTTAGGGAGGAACCGTGGCTTACAGCCGCCCCCACCACGGGGACTCCCACTCCCACTCGACAGCTGTTCTGGTCGAGGCTTCCGAAAGGATTCGGAGCGGCGGAAAAGTAAGCAATTTGATGATTCCAGACCATTTGATTGGTCTGAGTAAAAGTACATGTCTTGTTCATGTCTTGTTGGATTATCATCATGTAACTGATGAGCCACGCCTTTAATCACATGCAAAACATGCCCTTCTACTCTGTAGCCTGTCACTCTGTATGATGCTCTGTGAATTGTGGAAACATTGTGTAGATGCAAGGTTAGGAGTGCGAATGCTGATGCTTCTCTGGGGGAGCTTACATCTTCCCAGTAGAGCCACGTTGCCATTGAGAACAATGCTGACGTTTGTCTGTTGCACCTCAAATTTGCGATAGCTTTTTGCTGTTCGAGCTGCCGATTGTCTACAAGAAGTCATGATCGACAATGACGTCTGTTCTGGTGCTCACATTGGTAAGATATATGAACCCTCTTCATGAATGATCTGCCAACATGTAGGCACGGCCTCACATTTTCGCCTATCATTCAACTGCCGGTCGGCTTTATCCCGATGTTGCCCCGTTCGTTTAAGCTCACCACCCATGACTTGGTTCGTCTTAGAAAGAGGAGCTCCGAAGTCTCGACTTCTGCTCAAAATGTGGCGGTAGCTGACACTCCAGTAATTTTACAGTGGACCACGCAACTCGAACCGCCCGAAAACCCGTGCGCACGTTGCAGCCGGATGCCGTATGACGCCCGCATGCTTCCCGCATGTCACCCACCTTCCATCCCGCGATCGTCGCAGCTCCAAGTGCCGCGTTATGATACGGGGAATTATGTGGTAACTGAAACCCTCGGCGCATATAGTACTGCAATGCACCACAACATACCGCCTTCGCCAGCCGTGTTATAGACCCAATTGGCCTGTTTATGACGTGGAAGCGAGAGTTCACGTCGTGGGGAAAAAGCAAGCATATTGACTCGGAGGCTGGAGCTATCCGTACATGATGGGGGCTTGGTCGAGATGGAGATGGAGATGGAACCTGAGAAGAAGCGATATATAAGTTTCTAGTGTCATCTCATCACCAAATATATCGAGCAGGCGCTTCTTCACTCATTCTCTTTTCACAAATATGGACATGGCTTTGCCTACGACACGGCTCACGTGCCTCGCAGACTCCTACCCAGTGGTAGCGGCAGTCTCTGCTGCAATCAGTGTGGTTAGTTCTCAAGTCGCAATGATTCATATCATACATGCTGACCAGAAGCCTCGAACAGGCCATCGTATACTTCATTGTCCTCCTTCCGCTATACAACATACTACTACACCCTCTCCGGAAGTATCCTGGTCCAAAGCTATGGGCGGCTTCCCAAATCCCGTGGCTTCGCTCTTACACGGGCGGGCTTTACCACGTCAAGCTCCGCGATATGCACGAAAAGTACGGCCCCGTTATTCGAGTTGGTCCCAATGAGCTGTCCTTCACCTCACCAGAGGCGTGGCAAGCGATTATGGGCCACCGTAAGTCTGGGGAAGTGGAAAACGGCAAGGCACCTTTCTATGCTGTCCCACCACTCATCACCGGCCTCAACCGAACTGACCACTCACGCGTACGGCGGCTCATGTCCCACGGATTTTCGTCAGCAGCGCTTCGAGACCAGGAACCGATGATCAGGGGCTATATCGACTTGCTGATCCAGCGTCTCCATGAGAACAGCCAACAAGGCCGTAAGGCGGTTGACATTTGTGCATGGTTCAACTACACGACTTTTGATATCATTGGAGACTTGACCTTTGGAGAGCCGTTCGGCTGTCTGCAACAATCAGCTATGCACCCATGGGTCGAATTGGTGTTTGCAAATGTCAAAACTTCGGCCATGCGGTCTGCACTTGCACGGTTCCCAGTCGCGAACCATCTCCTTCCATTTTTCGTGACTCCTCAACTTGTCAGGAAGGCAGCTGAGCACAAGGAACTTACACGAGAGAAGGTGTCTAAGCGCTTGACACTGACAGATGCCAGACCTGACCTGGTGCATGGCATGACCGTTGGAAAAGGTGGCCTGGTATGTGTGATGATTTGAAACTTCACGACTGAAGACCTGAGGCTAACGTGGTACCCAGACCGTCTCTCGTGAGGAGTTGAATGAGAACTCCGAAGGACTTATCATTGCAGGCTCGGAAACCACAGCCACCGCCCTTTCAGGGGCCATCTACATGCTGACGACACACCCTGCGATCCTCAAGACGTTGGCCGAAGAGATTCGATCTGCATTTACCTCCGAGTCAGAGATGAATTCTATCAACACGGCGCATCTTCCATATCTCCAAGCCGTTCTCGAGGAAACCCTCCGTTTCTTTCCTCCGGCACCTAATGCTTTGCCTAGAATCACCCCACCGGAAGGCAATCTTGTTCTGGGAAAGAGAATTCCAGGAAATGTGAGTTCGAAGTATTACCAAAATTGCTCACATGCATTGTTTCTGACAATCCATCAGACAGTGCTGTCCGTTCCGCATTGGGCCATGTATCACAGCAGCAGCAACTTTAGCCGACCTGACGAGTTCATCCCCAACCGGTGGCTTGATGACCCACAGTTCGCCAGTGACCGAAAGGAGTGTATGAATGTGTTCTCCTTTGGTCCGCGCAACTGTATTGGAAAGAAGTAAGACTCGGAAAGTGTTGTATTCAACAACCGATTATTTTGCTAATGGAATCTAGCTTGGCGTATGTTGAGATGCGCATGTTCCTGGCTCGTGTGATCTGGAACTTCGATATCGAACTTGCGGCAGAGAGCATGGACTGGTTGCAGAAGGGTCGCTCGTTCAGTGTGTGGGCTAAGCATCCTCTTATGGTCCACTTGACCCCTCGGCCGGTGGCTGTATAGAGCCAGCAACGTTGTTTCTGGCAATTCCAAGCTTCAATTCAACGAAGCTGAATACTTTGGTGTATAGCGTATTCTAGAGACAATCCGTATTAAATAGTGACCTTAGACCGACATTTCGGCCCGGAAGTTGTGGGGTGTGAAAACCATCCATGGATGCTGCACACCGTACCAAAGAAACTTATTTCCGTTTACGACGACCTCGGACTCAGTGCTATTTCGCGGCTGGTTTGATAGGATAATGTAGGCAACTTGAAGTTAAAAATAGACTGAGAACAATTGAATTGGCGAACATGGAGTCGGAACTGACCAATTGTGATGGTGATGATTCAACGACGATCCACCGTTCGGGGGCTAAATCGCCCCCGCGCCGAAGGCCCCATGTCAACTAATTCCGCTGTTAAGGAGGTCCCTGGCGTTTGCTGTGCATGAGCTCCTAAGCCAAGTAAGCCACTAACTCCCACTGTGACGGACATCGGCAATGCAAAGCGGGCCGGCCCTCATCGTAAACTGGTGCATTTCCTTCCCCACGACTGGACTTAATCTGGTTAAATCCTCCGTTCTCTTCTTTGTCATCGGTCATCGTGTCGGAATGGCGTCACCCTTGGACAAAACAACATCGGTTTTCCCCTGCCCGATATGTGGCATGGAATTCCAGCGCCAAGACCATCTAAAAAGGCACGTTTTCCTCCATGAGGATTACAAGCCTTTCACTTGTTCCAAATGCAGGCGTCATTTCACTAGAAGGTGTGTTTGACTTCGTGGGACAAGAGGTATTCCCATATATCTAAAGCAAGTACTGAAGGCGAGAACCCTGACAGAGACACCCTTGAGCGACACGAATTGGTACACAAACCCTCAATTAACCAACAGTCGAAGGTGGCCGACAAGAGCAGGGGAGCCAAAGCTTGCGTCCCTTGTCGCACCTCCAAACAGAGATGCGATGGCGACGGACACATACCTTGTACTAGATGTGCTCAAAAGGAAAGACCATGTCAATATTTACCTCGTCGCGCCCGACAGGTAAGGCCTTATAGAATTCTCCATCCCCCAAAAGCGATCTTTTAGCATTGATCACTGATGGCCCCTTCTCAGTCTTCGCGGTTGAAGTCTCACGTTGGACGAGACTTCAGATCAACGAGCGCGAGACCCGCCACCGAGTCGGAGAGGGCATCGGTAGGAGCTTTATCCTCACATTCAATAGGCTCACTGGAAACCCCCATCCTGTCCGAGTTTGACACAATGAATACAGTTGGTGAGGCAGATGCGGCACTCGCGACCTTTGACGCCTCTCCCACTGCATGGGATGAGATACTCGCCACCACTTGGGACGAAGCACAATTGCATGTTAACAATCCTGCACTGCAAATGCCGAACCTCGCAAGTCCTTTGGTCTTTTCAAATCTTCCGTGTGGAAATTGGCCAGCGCTGGGAACCTCCGGTGAACCCTTCACTATCGACCCCCTGTCCACTACTCTCTTACTTCAATCTCCAACCGAGTACCGGTCCGACCAAACGCTCCGTCCAGCATCTCCAAGCTTGGACGCCGATTTGGAGAACTTAGGTCACGTACCTGAGCTCACCTCAAAGACATTTGAGGGCCTGAGTACATGGGCCTGCATGATCAGTCGTGCTCCAAGGCCCGCCGACTCATTCTCAAGCCCACCTCTCAGCACCTTGAACGCTTTCATACAGCTCTATTTCGAAGAGTTTCATGAAATCTTACCTATCATCCATCGACCGACGTTCGATCCCAACTTTGCCCCGTATTTGTTGGTATTAGCCGTTGGTAATGTTGGGCGTCGCTTCTCAAAGCTGGCTGGAGAAACATGCTCTGGGACCGAACTTGACCACTTTGTCTACCACGCTGCACAATACCACGTATGTAATTTCTCCTTTAGTATCAGGTTGTTTCTAGCGACTGACGCAGAATATAGGTCGGCAATCTGCCACCAAACGACACCATTCCGGCTTGGCTAGCTCAAACAGTGCTTCTCAGCCAGGTTTCCATGGCCTTCTCCAACGACAAACAAAATGTGGAAAGGAGTAAGGTGACAAGAGGCATCCTGGCCGTTACTTTGGGGAAACTTGAGCCTCTCTTGGAGGCAGCCGCCATGACCGTTTACAAAGACACGGAGCGGTCAAACGTTCAAACGCAGTGGGAAGACTGGATTGAGTGGGAAGTATTGCGACGTACGGCATTTGGTCTATGGGTGAGATACTACCACGCTCCACACTTGTTACTAGTTACGCCTAACGTTATCGTAGCTTCTGGATAGTCAGTGCTGCCTGCTCTTCGATCTCACGCCAGTCGTGCCCACAGAGGCTCTCGCCATGCAAATGCCACTTCCTTGTCATGAACGACTTTGGGATAAGTCATCTGCTTCGGCATGGAAAAGGGCACGCGAAGGTATGCTTGAAATTGCCTGTTGATGACGTTCTGATTGTTCCGATTGTTAACGTTTTAGAAAACAACGATCTGTCTACATTGCGGGAAGAAATGCAGTCACTATACAAACAGAACCCATTGTCAGAAAACGTAGGGGGCTTTGCACTCCTACTCCTGCTCTTCTGCTTTTTCCGAGACCACCTCTTCTTGAAACAGGTCGAAAACCAAGGTCTCTCAGCGGTGAATAACGACGCGGAACGAATCACTTCAGGTATGAGTCGATGGTCAGAGACCTGGCGGCTCTTGGACCCGACCAAGCGATCGAATTCCACGCGTATCAGAACCGTCGCAATCCAGTACTATCATATCATTGGGCTTATTGTAGATTTACCCCTGAAGGATCTGTATGCGTTTGCAGGCTGGAGAGTCACGCGATTCAAGCAGCGGGAGACTAGACAAAGATTGATGGCATGGGTTTCAGAGCACGGAGATAGGGCGAGGTCTGCGGCACTTCATGCTGGAAGGATATTTCGCCAGTGTCGAAGCCGCTCCTCCTGCGGCTACCAGGAACCTTGCGCAATGCTCATCGCAAGCCTTACTCTCTGGATGTACAACAGCTCGTTGACGACCCGGTTGGTGGCATGCCGGGAGAGCTATCGTGAGCAAAACCAATCCCCCATACTCCGACTCGACGAAGACAGCGACCGTGAAGAGGCATGGGATTGGATACAGACGGGGAAAAAAGCGCGTCCATTCGTTGCTGGCATTGGTGATATCCACATGCCCGGAGGTCACTCCAAGGCCGTGAATCAAGCCATCAACATTCTGTCGTCACTGAAGGAATGGCAAATTGGGCAGTTGTTCTCTGTCACTTTGAAAGACTTGATTGTGTTATTTGATAGAGACACTATGAGCTAGTGCAAGAAGCAGACGTCCTGCCAATTTGAACACTATCATGCGCTGACCTGGCAGCTTTGAAGCTTTCGCCTTACCTGGCGCCATTCTTCTGGACTCAGGCTCGTGGTGACACCTGAAGAGGAAGACCTCCCTCCAACTCTACAGTGAAGTTGTCGACTCGTCTGGGAGGCAAGAATCCAGAAGGAAAGGTGATCTTGTACTTTCGAAGGATGGAAGCGAGAATAAGCGTCAACTCAACGGGCACCAGGCTAGGGGTTGGTGCTGTCATCAGCAAATGAAGTGTCAATGAGCGGAAATTGATTTGAGCTTACTTTTGGCCAATGCACATTCTTGCACCCTTGCTGAAAGCAACCTGATACTGATCCAGGCCCTTTGCTCCGGGGCCCAACCAGCGATCGGGGTTGAAGCATCGAGCATCGGGGCCCCAAAGATCAACACTTGAATGCATAGTATGCGCTGACATGGACACGATGGTCTGTCACAGACTCACAGTCAGTAGACTTTTACACCAAGCCAAGCCAGCATGACTGTAGGGTTCCACGTACGCCAGGAGGAACAATCTTTCCGTCTACAACGAGAGGTTCCGACAAGTTATGAGGTACGATGCGCGGAAGCCTAGAAGGCACTGCTGAAGCAAGACGAATGCCTTCTTTAACGCAAGCGGTCTATCAGTGCTATCAGTCAGTCTCCAAGTAAAACCCAATGGCACGGTCTGAGTCACTCACCAAATACTCGATCTTTTCCAAAGTCTGGAGCGGGGGCAAATCATTCTTGTCGGGAATAGCAGCGTCAAGTTCTTCGACCAGTGTCTTCTCTATGGCGGGATTACGAAGAATCTCGAAAAGAGCGGTGGTCACGGACGTGGCGCTCGTGTCAGACCCGGCCACCAAAAGATCAAGAGATTCGCCCACCAATGCAACATCCGACAGCGATGTCAGATTTTCGAGAACGATGGGATGATTGACAGCCGCTTTTGAGCCATCAGACTTGCGCCAGCGGTCCACACACTGCTCCGCGTACTAAACTCCGACCATTTGTTCAACTACCGGCTTGAGGAAGTCTTTTGACAAGGGGCTACTTACATCAGTCAACTGAAAGAGACTGCCCAGTTCAGGAGAGATGACTTTCAATAATCCCACTGGAATCGCGTTGCTGACTATGCGCAACAAGGGATACTGCTGCAAGGTCTTCACAGCCTGGGCACCAACGCTGAAAGCTGTGAGGAATTGTGATCGGAAACTGTTGGGCTGCTCTTCCAGCATACCGCGACTATCGGCGAAACAAAACTCCATAATGATGTTGGTAGTCAAAAGTCTGCTGGGATGTCAATCCAAGGACCAAACAGGATGGATCAGGGGTCAAAGGAATAACCGTTTCATGGAGAGACGTACCGAAACGCATCATAGAAGTCAATGTTCTGCTTCTCACGAAGTCTTTCAATCTTGATCTCCCAAAGTGCCAATCGCTCACGAATAAGACCCTCCAGCTTGAGGACACCTGCACGCGAGAACATGGGGTTCAACATACGTCGCCGTTCCTTGTGTTTAGCCTCGTCCATCTCAGTGAACACCGTGGGAGAAGGCGCATTGAATGCCAAGTAGAAAGGCTCATTCTTGGGGAAAGGGTTAGATTGTCTGTAGATAACCTTGTAAAGGTTCGTATCGGTAATGTGAAGCTCATTTGGCGCGATTCTGATGGCTTTGGCGTCTACCCTGTCAGCTGTACCATTCAACTGGTGTCACACGGATCAGAAGGGCAGTCTCACCATATCTATGATGAATTTGCTCATAAATATCTTCAGGGTACTCCTTCTGGGTTTGTTGATACAGCCAAGTGTGCGATTTGGCCGCTTCTCTCGGTCCAGGGAAGTTGCTCAGAGGATGCAGGTAAACGCGGTAAAGCCCTCGAAGGTAGGTAAAAAGAACGAAGACGAGCACAGCAGCGGACACGCTGAAGGTGATTCGATTTGAGAGAACCGAATCGTTAAAATGCGGCTGCCATGTGGTAAAATTATCGAAAGACATGGCTGTTCTAGGCGTTGAAACTTGATGATGAATAGATTGCTTAGGATGAAGTATATGAAGCTTCTTCTTCTAAGGGTTTTATACACAGGAAAGGTGCCCTCTTCTAGGCGGGATTCATTCCCTCAGTATGGCCCATGACACAACGGGCCAGTGACTGAGGAGCCGACGAGACGAGTCGCCGACACTAAATTGAGGAGCCGACTGCGCTGATGCCGTTGTGGAGACAATTCGGCTCCTCGATTTGTGGGGCGACAAGCCGACCGGGCGGCAGGCCCCGATACTGCCGCCAGTTGGAGGCTGGCCTCCCCTAGCATTATTGATGCCATTTGAGTTGAAGTTTGAGAATGTCTTACGCCTGGAGCGAAGTGCTGGAAGCGTCGCTAGGTTCGATCCATGTCGTCGCATCCAGAACTAATGGCCTTTACGCCGTTTTAAAACTAGACCTTGAGGCGCTCTGCAAAACGGGGAGCAAAGGAAACACAAGATGATTCTTGCTGAAAGGATATCAGTATCACCAACCATTCTTTTTGTTGCCATGCCATTGTGCATTGATCAACATTTGCTGTCTTGCGGATGTGCGCTCCATCAATCGGACATGGGGTTCACAGAGCGGAAATGTTGCGCATCCCGCCGGCGTTGAGTGGATTGCTGTAATTAATAGATCGCCTTACCCGTAACTTTCAATATTGCGCAAATTCTCCGAGCCGCAAAAGTTTCAAGGGGTTCATGAGATGAACAATGCTGGATCGCAACGCAGCCGCATCCGGTGGGATAGAGCTTGGGCGCAGAGGAATTTCTGCCGCAGTGCCCACATGGTCAAACTCTACTGACGACATGTCGAGGTTATCTCTCTGCACACACAAAATCAATGGGTTGCTGCAGATCAACTTCACGGTTCACGAAATGAAAGTTCTCAGAGTTTAGGCTAAAATCATTGCTTCATTTTCCCTCTAAATCTATGTACTGTAAATCACCGTCTCCGTCCAACTCGTTCACGACATCTATGCCTCAACACCGAGGGTGATGTAGGCGAGCATGCCCTTAGTGACGTCCTCGCCGTCAAGAGGCTCAACAATCATGTTCGGGTTCCAGCCGCCAACGACCTCAGCAGCGAAGATGGAATCGATGTCGTTGGTGGTGCGGTTGATCTCAGTGTGGCTGACGTAGGGCTCCAGAGCCATGATCTGGGCGCTGAGCTCCTCGTCGAAGAAAATTTGACCGGTGTTGGCAATGTTGGAGCCGACAATGGTGCCGTTGCTGCGGACGGACCAGTCGGTGTGGACCTGGGCGTGGATGTGGATGGTACGCTCGACGTAGAAGCCGGGGAAGACGGTCTTCATCTCCATGATGCCGTTGCTATCGGTGGGCCACATGCCGCGGAGCCAGGTGGTGTCGTCGGTGTGCAGGTCCAGATCGGGGCCGATGGTCATGTTCAGCTGCTCGAGGAGCTCCTCGAAGGGAGTGTTTGGGTCGCGTCCGGTGAAAGAGCTGTAAGAGCCAGTCTGTAGCAATACTCGTTAGTCTACTTATCTAATGTCTTGAGTATCTATTAGGGGTTCACTTACAGCATTGCAATGCCACAAATCGACCAAGACGTCCTCCATGGCCTCACAGGTGTTGACGTTGAGAACGCCGATATCCAGGTAGAGAGGAACACCGGCCTGGTCCTCGCTCATGTCCTGACGCAGAGTCTGCGATTGGGGCCAGACGTAAGGTCCCTTGGTAACCTCGGGAGTCAGGACGCAGGTGTCATTCTGCAGAGTGTTGTAGTGGGGGCCCTCGGTGTGGATGGTGACGTTCGAGTCGCGGACGGCGAGGTGGCGGCTAGCAAGCGAGCGCTTCTCGGCGTGACGCCTCTTGCGGACCTCGCTGAACTGGCCGGCCTGGACGGCGCAACGCTTGGAAAGGTTTCCGCGGCGGACCATCTCAGTGTGGCTCAGGCCGTGCTCATGGCCGGGGTGCGCGACAGCCACACCCGTAAGGAGCGCAGTAGCGAATGCGAGGAGTTGGAACTGCATTGTAAAGAATGTTACCGGGGGCTAAAGAATGTGTAAAGACGGACGAATGAGAGTGTCTGGAAATTCAGCTACAGTTTTCAGCTGATGTTCTGTTCGCTGATCAAACGGCGAAGACGATCACTCTTTATAAGTCTGTTGACTGTTCCGCATATGTTTTTCACCTTCCGCAAATAGATCAAAAGCCTTTCGTTGCATCGCCCCAAAGGCACCCCTGAGCAGTCCCCAGAGATGTTCATCTCATCGCGACTTTGCTTTTGTCATCCCCCTTCTCATCAGCGCTCAGATTCTCAAACCGCCAACCATTTCGCGAGCCAGATGTTCCACGATCTCCACTGACGTCGGGTGAACGAAAAATGTCGCTCCCACATCCCGAACAACCACGACCAGATCAATTGCCTTGCCCGGTCCTCAAAGAAACAGGCAGCCAATCAAAACGGATGTATTACCGTTGGGCGCCGGGGTTCGGGGCTCCAAGACCGCATCCGGGCTCCACCCGTGCGGGCCGCCAAGAATCCTGGCCGCGTAAGTTCAGGGGCGCTCCCGCTTCGCCGCTACGTCAAGGCGAGTCAAATGCTATCCCGTCGGCCTCGCATATCCCATGGGGGCCTCGCGGCAGGAGGCGCGGTAGTGCCGACTACGTGTTGATCTTGGTGTTGTCATGGAGGTGGATAGACGATTTCTTCCCAAGGCCAGATGCCATTGTCAGATCCGCATCTGTTACCACCCTGGTCCGGAATGCGGGCGCGAACAAGCTTGCCCGTCAACCAAATTTGTAGACATCCAAGACGATCATCAGGCTGGGCGTAACGTCTACACCGATTCTGGAAGGTATGGAAGACAAGGAGCGGAATGTTCCCCCCTGACTGTGGGATTTGTCTATGATTGAGGCTGACGCGGGCACACCGAGAGAACCAGTTCGGGTGTACGTCGTCTTTATGCGTACTAGGTAGCGGTATTCTGCCAGAACCGACGGATAGAATGTGGGCAATTTGTAATCTAGAGCCTTTACGCCAAGGTCTATTGAGAATATTTCTGTTTGACATAAGGTAAACCGAGGATCCCCGTCGACGACACCCAGCATACACTAGCCGAAGATTCGTTTGTTCCACTTCTTCTTAGCTCTTCTCAACCCTACCTCTAGACCAAGTCGCATTCGAATCCAAACCCAGCGACTCCAAATGGCCAACCGTTGTCGATTAATATTTTGTAATGGAATTTTCGCCCCTTGCCATTGGTGAGACCTCCACCTCGGGTCCGTCGTAGTCTCTCCTTCGCCAAGATCTTTATAAGAGATGAGGTCAATTTTTCCACCGCCATCGCGAAGACAGTAGGTATAGCTTGTGTGGCAAAAGTCGCAGGTCTCAATCCTTCCAAAAACTTTTGTCTGGCGCTTTGACAGACGAATCTTGGCCTGGAAGTTGTCTGACTCGTGGGTTTCGATCGTACCTGGGTTGAAGATGAAGGGGTATTTCCGCTGCCAAGTCATGTGCGCACAACAGTGTGACCGGTCTGCACTGTTGCTCAGAATATCCAGGTAAAGCGACTTGTCAATATTAATCGATGACACCCCGGAAAATACACATATGTAGGTTTGCAGCTTTATCTTGGCACAGAGGATCATTCGACCTCTCGATACCAGAAATTCTGTACCGTGGTGGACATGAGGGCGACTGTAGCCGTTCTTGTCAAGCTTGCCATACCAGCGTTGATTCATCGGCAGCAGATCTTTGGGACGGCACAAGCCCCCCAATCGAAACCGTGTCATGGCAACCCTGATCGTTTCGTAGTCGAGACCCCTTGGAAGCCATGGCGATGGGTCCCAGTTTGGCCGCGATCTCTGGTATTTCCGGACACAGGGACGAGAATCGCCAAAGATCCGCTTGTACTCTTCGTCCCTCGCAATAGTCCAAGAAAACTCTGGCGGATGTAATGCCACACATCGCGGGCAGAAAAAGAGTGAGAGGTCGCGGAGGTCTCGTTCTAGTAGAAGGAGGAGCTCGCGCCGACAGTCGGAACGCTTTCGCAGTGTCAAGCTCTGTGAGCCGAGGCTCAACAGTATAGGTTTGCAAGTGAGGGCCAATGCCGCTCGCTCAAACGAGGCTAAGTAGTCAACTACGCAAAGGTGCAGGTCCGTAGGCAGAAGCTGGAGATTTATGATGTTTGGAGGCTTTGTGGGGGCTTGGAATGAATCAATCATCTGAAGGGATTTCGGCCGAAAACAACGTGAGAATTGAGACTTACTTTCCATGGCTATGCGCGATCAGCGAGATTGTAGGTGTTGTTGTCTTATTCTGATCTCAGTGGATGGTTGCTGATGGGGAGAGAGAAATCGACAATTGTTTTATTCGATGGATTGCTTGACCTCGGCAATAGTGTTGCGATGTTTTGCAAGAATTTTCTGGCCGTCATAGAAGCAAAGTTTTAGACCAACAAGATATTTGAGAACCCTGCCGGCGTACCTCACCCGGACCACACTCTTCCGACGTTGGTTGTCGTTACTATGGCCAATCGGTGTACCGACCTTTCTCCCGTCTCTTGACTACTGACGATAATTAGAATTCTACAACGCTTCGACGATAACGCCCCATGTGACCGATTGTTCTTTGGTATGTTTTTACGTAACCTGGAGCCTATATCAATGTTGTTTAATACGTACACCAACCTTGAACACCCTTGGTCTTTGAATGCGTTTTGCTGTCCGGGCAATACACTTAGCTAGCCAGGCAGAGTATAAGTAATACTAAGTGTCAATACTATAATGAGACTGCCTTGTTTTCAAACGTCTTCAGGGCTATATTTCCTGTACACTCAACTAATGTCACAGACGATAGTAACGATAACGACAATTGAAATAACGACGACGACGACGACAGTAGTAATCACAACGAATCTGGTAATGATAACGACGGTAATAGATGAGTAATTACTAAGGGAATAGTAAAATAGAGTAAAGTGCATAACTATAGGAAAAATAGGCCGTCT